CCATATATTTTCAGTATTTGATTTGGAACATTATATTGTACACAAGACGTTGTAAACTAATCTCTTTTTTAGTAGGATGCTGCGTTTGCATAAAGTTCTCTCAGTTGGGGAGATCGGTTTGTGTGCATTCTTCTGTGAAAATAGGTGAATTTATTTACTTCAGTTAGTTCACATTTAAACCAAACTTGTATATAGGGTGAATTCCACGCTATAAATATACCGCCCATCCATTCCCACCCCAACCCTAGTTATCATCTAACCAATGCCAGTAAGTTTACTTGTTATTGTTCTTGTCTTGGGGAGTTTGCCATTTTTCATGTTATCATATATTATAATGACATAACAAACCCCTATGGTCGTAAGCTAGCAATATTGAAAAATAGCCATAAATTTTTGATTTTTCCGAAATTTACAATAGATGCAGGACAGCGATTTTAGCTCGTGCATATTATGATTCTTCAGGTTGTGTATTTTATCAAATTGATTTTTTGAATGAAAAAGGAAGAGATGTTAATTTTTTTTCACACATTTCTTGGCCTGATTGATACCGTGAATATTGTTCAGGTATGAGGTATTGTATAAACATCACAGAGCAGTGGTAGATAGGCTTCAGAGCGTAACGTTTTTAATATACAATGTAAATGATTGAGTTTACTTGTACTTTTTGGCTTCTTTAATTTGTTTATTTCTGCATTCAATCGCGAGTTGTGTGGCCTGGGCAAGTTTAAGTCGATTACAGACATGGGACCTGTATTTCTATTGTTACCTAGTTTTTGGCTTGCGATTAATATTCTCTGGCATTTTCAAACATGATTATTATTGTGGCAAGAGTCAAAATCGGTAAATAAACAATTTTATTATACTATTTAATAAAGAGTTTTCCTTTTGGAAAAATGTATACAATTTGTCGCATACTGTAACAGTATATTACTTACTGTATGACTATCACAAAATATCAAATAGAAACATATATACACATTCAGGAAAGTGGCCTTTTGAGCCATAGACAGGACAAGATCGATTAGACTCCTATGGCTACGACATATATTTTAGTAAATAAAAGTCTATATGTATAGCGAGGGAATATTATACAACGACTCCATCATCTGTGCGAAAATACATATTTGCATCATGCCTAGGTAAGTAGATAGATAATTTGCATGACAGCTGACTAGTTAAGTAGCTATATGCTTTCGCGCACCTGTAGGCATGCACGAAACATCAATGTCATCATTAATCAGTTTTCTTTACACATGCTCCAACGTTTCAAAAATGCACTTTCGCATACCTAGCATGCACTCCAGCTAATAAAACGATGATAGATACGTACCAGATCTTGTTCAAGGATCACCTGTTGCTTGTTTTCGCTTTGAAGTCCTCAGCAGCCGTTGACGTTTTTGAACATGGCAACGAATTTACATACAAGTACGCGCCTGCTGGAATTTCTACGTATAAATATTAACACATGTCAGTCTTTTCTTTCAAAAGTAACAATTTCTTTTAGTAATGAATCTTAAATTATTTAACAAATGTTGAGAAAATGCGGAGACCTTTTTCCTTAAGGCTATGATTCGCATTTTAATTTAAAATCGCATCTGCATGTGATCTTGTTTTAATAATATTTCTTGAACTATTCTTTATAATCGGCAAATTATATTTGTAGTCTCCCTGGATCGATTGTTTAAAATTAATCCGACGGTAGGGTTCCAAACCGCACCTATCGACTATGAAAACTAATTAATATTTGCCTGCTTAAAAATTGATCAGGATCTAAATTGTCAATATTGAAGTAGTTGATGATGAATACAAATATAGATAACCAGTTAAGAATCAATATAAAAGTCAACAGACAATACAACATTCCCTTCCTACTCTCCTTTGAGAACCTTTGAAAGAATCAGTCTAAATACTAATCAAAAGTAAAACTAGAATGAAAATGAAAATAAATGTTCAGATTTCGTTTTACCTCATCATTATTGTGGCCATATAGTGCCAGCATTGTGCCATATAGTGGCCATGTGGTTTATGTGGCCATATAGTGGCCATTTGGTCAATGTGGCCATATAGTGCCAGTATTGTGCCATATAGTGGCCATTTGGTCAATGTGGCCATATAGTGCCAGCATTGTGCCATATAGTGGCCATGTGGTCAATGTAGCCATATAGTGCAAGCATTGTGCTATATAGTGGCCATTTGGTCAATGTGGCTATATAGTGCCAGCATTGTGCCATATAGTGGCCATGTGGTCAATGTTGCCATATAGTGCCAGCATTGTGCCATATAGTGTCGTTGTGGTCAATGTGGCCATATAGTGCCAGCATTGTGCCATATAGTGTCGTTGTGGTCAATGTGGCCATATAGTGCCAGCATTGTGCCATATAGTGGCCATGTGGTCAACGTGGCCATATAGTGCCAGCATTGTGCCATATAGAGGCCATGTGGTCAATATGGCCATATAGTGCCAGCAAAATGTAAAATTTGAAACATGTAAAAAATTGAATTCCACAAAAATATAATTAGACAAAACTTTCGAAAGAAATGTAAACACTATGTCCAACAAAACAAAGTATAACGCGCAATGATATTAAAGTTAAGTAAACTTTTGTGTGAAATAACAAAAAAAAATGTAACATGTAAAATCAGAAAATAATTTAACAATTTTTTAAATAGGAAACATGAACGCGTGGTTAAGGTTTGGGGGAAAGGGGCTGACTTTAATCTGATTGACCATGGTAGTGACTCAGGAATATAGAATTTTCCTGTATTTTTAAGACTGATTTTTTTCCTGTTTCTACATGTGGATGAATGCGTATGCTAAAGGCTGGAATGAAGTTTGGTTTCTGACGCTCAAGGTTTAGTATTGGGTATACGGACTGAACCTTATGCAGGGTTAGATGGATCCGTAGATAGATTGGAATTATAGGACTCACACATCTAATTCAGTTCCCATAGTAAACCTATGCAAACACTATGATATTGAAAAGTTCACTAACTTTAAATTTCTGAGTGCTCATGATCAAACCTATATTAATCAGTATAAATGAAACCTGCATGACAGTTTCTGTGTAGAGAAAATAATATGAATCTGGACCTAAAAGTGTTTGAAACAAGTGCTTTTAATTCCACACCAAAGAATCGTGTGCTAATTTCAGTAGTAAATGTTCCGAACTCAAGACTGTTTAAGGACTGAACTGCCATCAACAAAACAAGGTGTTCTTTTTTAAAGTTACGACTATGATAAAAGGTGTCCTTTTTAAAGTTAGGATAAGGTCTCAAAAGATTTTTTTCCTACAAAATATCTTTCATTATCAACCAGTCCAAATATACTCCAGTTTATGTTCATCCTTTTCCATGTTGGTTCCCATTTATCCATACAATTAGTAAAGTGTGTCCTATACTGCAGATCCAGATAGAGTCTAACTCACTGTTGTATATCGTACAATTTGTACGTCAGATTTACAAACTGATTTCGTACATATTCGAGTCAAGTTTCAATCTTGCTAATGACCTATATTATTTTACGCGAATCGTCTTAAATCTATGACTTTTTATTATGTAAAATGTGGAAGAACAAATCATCCACCATTGAAAATAATTCCTAAATATTTGTTCTTCTCAACAGCAGCAGTGTATGTGTGTATGTGTGTGTATGTGTGTGTGATTGATATTTTAACATAACTTTAACAATTTTTCAGTCATATCGCTAAAATATCTGCAGTGTGGCAGTTTACAGTGATGTCTAGCGTTGGGGCATCTGCAGATATGTTGCATGATGTCCCACCGAGTCACATTATCCTGACACCAGGCCAACCATTCCTAACACTAACCTCTTAATAAACAGCAGGAGTAAGACATCCTTCAAGATATCCTTTGAGCTTTGGGCCATCATGAATATGATAAAACCAGCAGAAAAGCAGCAAACAGTTCATTTTTGAATTCGAATATCTGAACATCTGAAGTTTGTTTATGCTAATCTGTGGCTGATGTTTACTAGTATAGATGCTCTTTAATCTAAAGCAGATCAAAACGTCGTCGGCTTACAAAATAGAGTTAGGTCCTTAATTTAAGCATTTCTACTATTTTTGATGTTGAATAGGATGACTGACAGCGTGCTGCCCTAAGGTACACCCATCTTCAGAGGATATCTTTTCGAAAGGATGCTTCCTCCGTTAACGCTTGAAATTTCTGTCTTTTAAAATATATTTTTACAAATAGGAACAAACGTGGTAGGCTGCCCCTTATAATAGATCATTCATTGTGCCGTACTTCCAGATAGTTTCGTAAGCTCTTCTCTAAGTAAAAAAAAGACAACAGTTATATGTTTTTTTCCTTATTAAAGCTTCGCTAATTAATGTTTCAAATCTGACATGATGGTCTATTGTGCTTCTCTGGAGTCTGAATCCTCACTGAACATCAGGTAGTAACTTTCTGGATTTGATATCCCAGAGCAGTCTATCATGTATTATCCATTCCATGTTTTGGTTTTACAAATACAGCTTATTCATGCCATGAGACGACTCTTGGAATGATTGGTTTGGTCCTTTCCAAATTGGAGTAGTGGTATCTTGAACATAAATTTTGGATAATTCAACATGAATGTACTACTGGGGTGTATTTTTTTTCTAAAAAAATCCATAAACAAAGATAGCAAAGATATATAAAAATACCAAATAGTAGGAACCATACATCAAAGCCTAATACGTATCATTATGCATAAGACTTTGCACTGAGATAGACACTTTGAAAATCTCTTACTGGACGGGAACAAAAAAATATTTTGAAGCTATTGCAACTCTTTTGTAATACTTGTTCTCTAAGAAATTTGTGGTGGCAGATATATATATATATATATATATATATATATATATATATATATATATATATATATATATATATATATATATATATATATATATATATATATATGGCGGGTTAATAAGAATGAAACAATATATTAGCTATATCATATTGCGGAAACCCAGGCACTCAGACACACGGGCCGGCTGGGGCGGTAATTGAACCCGCTACACATGAATTAAGAGTACGTTGCTGTACCAATTAAGCTACCGCAGCTATGTGGTATTTGTTAAAAAATTTTAAAAGAAGGGTTAATAAAATAAATCAATCACGGAGGGGCCTTTTACGAAATTCGCTCTTAATTGGATGTTTCGAACGAGTGCCTTCACGGCTTATCTAACAAAATTTTACGTAATTCACTCAAGAGGAAGATAAAAATCATATCATTTTCTTTGCACTCTGCCAGTTTTCCCATGACAGGGAGTTTTTATCGACATTAACATGTGGGGATAAGTAAAAAATATGAAAAGGTTCCCTTAATTACCTGCCACTCACTGAGGATTTTTGAGTAAAGCTTTTCACTTCACTCAGAGAGAGAGAGAGAGAGAGAGAGAGAGAGAGAGAGAGAGAGAGAGAGAGAGAGAGAGAGAGAGAGAGAGAGAGAGAGAGAGAGAGAGAGAGAGAGAGAGAGAGAGAGAGAGAGAGACTATTCAGTACAGAGTTTAGAAGCATCACTGTCACACTAAACAAAATCAAAGCTCTCTAATAGGTACATCAGCCTTCTGAGACATTTTTTTTATAAAAAAAAAGAATTAAATGTCATTCTCCAAATTTACTTCCAATACAGCGATTTTGTACTAGCATCAACATAAGGAGCATTGAAAGGAGCAATGATTGCATAGCATAAATAATGTACGTTCAAAGGAAGAAACTGATATAAAGAAGAAACATTATTAAAACACTGTATATAGTAACAATTGTTGTTTCCCCATCTCCCATCCCAGAAATTGTGATTTCTTACGCTAAGCTGTCTCATATCAGATCCCAGTATGCATCGCATGTTGATAGTGTTGCTCAAATGACCGTGTAGTCTCTTTGTTAACATCACATTATAAACCATGGTTATGCAATAAAATCGCAATAAGACATTTAGATTCTGCATCCTATCAATTGGTTTCCAATTAAAATACTAAAGGTATCTAACTTTGTTAAAAGAAGCGAATATGCCCTGTACAAAGTGTACATTCCTAACAACACACTCTAGTTATTATACTGTGTTAAAACACGCATTCGTTAATGTAGTGTATTAAAACATTCGCTAGAATACTGTTTTAAGAACATATTTTTTATAGTTGTTTTGTTGCAGCACATTTTGTCATGGCACAAAGCCATTAGGATTGACATATGGGTTAGGCTCACAGTAAATTGGTAGCTTGTGATGGTCAGCCTGTCGTCTTTCGGGGCATGAGTGAATTTTAATTAGAGTCCGCGTAGGAGAAAGCGTTGAGAGAGCCAGAAACAACGTTGTGCCATTGGAAATGGTGTCATAAAATGAAGTTGCCCAGGAATATTTATTAATAAAGGTGGATCAGAGAGAATTTTTCTGATGTCAATGAGAGTGTTAAAATTATCGCAGTGAGATAACGTTAATCTTGAGTGGCGAAGCAAACGTGGTTGTGTGTGTTCTCAGACAAAAATCAAGGTTTTAAGTAGTACCCCTAGAGGAATTATTCAGCCTAAGTGTCTGTGGGAACCCATGATTTAGCGGCTAGATATAACAAATACTTTAAGTTAAATCATTAAAAGGAACCTGGGTCTAGGCGAATTTGAGAACACCAGAATTAAAGAGATTCGGCTGCATAGAAAGAGCTAGTCTCGAAAAGGCACAAAGGGGAAACAAATTTCTATATACTTGTGTTACACAGTGAAAAAGATCGCATACTACACGCACGGTTGATAACCCGAAGTGGTTGGAGAGACAGAGAAAGAAAAGAAATACGGCAACTCTAACCTGTCACCAACATCTATTTGTAAAGGACCGGACGCAATCAGGTTACACTGGCATGCCGGCAATTTGAGTTTGATCAGTCACTCGAACTATGATGACATTTTATTGCATTTTACGTAAAAGTAGTAGTTCTAAAAGAAAGTGTATCATTCAAATGTTATGTTCACTTTCATTTTGTTTATGTAATTGATTAAATTCTTATATTCTACACACGGAAGCTTGTCTTGCTCTATTCTATATATTTGCTCATATCTCTGTTATTCCATCTAATAATTTCATATTTTAATTTATTATTTGCTAGATCCGAGCAATACATCATGGTCGGTCATCTAGATAACGATAACCAAAGCACCAGAGAGGTGGAGGGACTACACATTATCACACTATTGAAATAATATATCGCTATATACGATATTCTTAATACAAAGATTTGTCATTGGTTGCTTAAACAATTTCCGCCTATGTATTTAAGTTTGTATGTATATATGTATGTCGATATATACGATACTTTTAATACAAAGATTTCCAATTGGTTGCTTAAACAATTTCCGCCTATGTATTTAAGTATGTATGTATGTATGTATGTATGTATGTATGTATGTATGTATGTATGTATGTATGTATGTATGTATGTATGTATGTATGTATGTATGTATGTATGTATGTATGTATGTATGTATGTATGTATGTATGTATGTATGTATGTATGTATGTATGTATGTATGTGTGTATATATGTGTGTATGTGTGTGTGATTATGATTTTATCGTAGCTTTAACAATTTTTCAGTGTTGTCGCTACGATGTCTGCAGTGTGGCAGTTTATAGTGATGTCTAGCACTGGGGCATCATGCTGCAGACATGTGGCATGATGTCCCACCCAGTCACATTATCCTGACATCAAGCCAACCAGTCCTAACACTAACCTCTTAATGCTGAGCGCAAAGCAAGGTAGCTGTTAGTACCATTTTTGTAAGTCTTTGGTATGACTCGACCGGGGATCGAACGTATGTATGTATGTATGTATGTATGTATGTATGTATGTATGTATGTATGTATGTATGTATGTATGCATGTATGTATGTATGTATGTATGTATGTATGTATGTATGTATGTATGTATGTATGTATGTATGTATGTAATTTAATTATCTGTTTGTTAGTTTTAAATTTATTTTATTTTATTCCATTACATGTTATTGTAATGATAACTTTGTCTACTGGATTTGCTATTTTTAATAGAAATTCAGTTCAGTTCTATTTGACATGATAAACAACGAGTAGTTAGTTGAAGCATTGTATCAAGTTCCTGACCTTGATTCCGAAATCTGAAAGAGTTCTAGTAAACAACTTTATGATTTTTTTAAAATTCATTCTAAGAGTAAGATTCGTTTAGTGGAATCAAGGCCGTACCTAGAGCACGTGATAATCTGCATGTAAAAATATTCTTCGTTGTTCTAGAAGGTGACCCTCATAAGGGAAACTGTTTTCCATCTTAACTTGATATATCACCGTTTTCTTGAGAAGAAATAGCCAGTTGGGTTTTACATCTGTGACACGTAAAGGTGTTTTGTATGACCAGTTTGAGTTGAATTTCTTTTATTCCATGGAATTAGTGATTCTTTCCCTGGAAAATACTAGTACTCATCCAGAATTCTTGGACAAAAACACTTATCGAAAATTATTCGGAATTTCAAACTGGAATACTATTTTCTGTGATTCAACAAAGAACTGTTGACACATCTGTACAAAGCTGACTATGGAAGACGCCATCGCCTTCCATCTTGAATTTCACTGGTATTTGAAATCAGATTCATTTTGGCCTATTCAATGATAGGACTTCTTTTTTTAATTCTTTTATTAATTTTGGATTTGATTCGTAAACCGTAAGTCCCTTTCCCCATTTTTACATTGTTTTCCAAGGGAAATAAGATATTTATTATATTTTTCAAAGCTTGTTGTCTTCACTCTATCGTGAAAGCGATCACAGTTACTTTAAAATTGGTTGAAGACATATTTTCTCCTTTCAAATATTAGTAAGGGATAAGGCAGAAAGTTAACCAAGAGGGTAGGGAGGGCGAACATGTAATGGTCAGCCATTAAATTTTATATATGTAGGCCAAAATATATTTAGAGTTGAAATCGGGGTTGGGGTGGTGCAAATGCCTTTCCCTTTTGCTAATATTTGCGGGCGCCCATGGCTGATATCAACTAATCATTTGTAGTCTTGTATTTTCTGAAATTGGGCCAGTCAAAAAGGAACATAGAGTGGATTACTAGCACCTCATCATTCAAGTGGCCTTGTAAATAAACAACCAGAACGGTTTTGCTCTTGCCTCATCATTCATAGGAGTAAACTGGGTATCTAAAACTTGAAAACAGCGGAGATAAATAGAGATTGTGATGATACAGGTCATTAAATTGACGCTGTACGAGATAGCGAGTGCCGTGATGAACGATGTGCTTCCGCTGAAAGCTTCATTAAGGGATTTCGGGGAAAAAACCCCAGTCCCGGGGCCCATATTGCTGCAACACAAGTAAGAACATCGTGGGTTCGCTGGCAGTGGCCAGTATACCAAACATCTCATGGATACAATCGGTGCCATATAAATCACTCATGTATATACGCGATCATTATTTTTGCCTGATCATGGTAGACTTTAACTTTTGAACTGGTCCTGAAATTGTCCGGTAAAAGCACATAAATTGCAAGACCCCGATGGCTCCAGCGCAATATAATACCCATCATCATGAAAAAAAAAATCGGTGATTCTATACATATTTTTTTTCATGACCCTGATGACGTAATGGAGTTAAGCATGATTTTATGACAGCTTAATGTAAATAGAAACAATTTCACGATTTGTTTATAATGATCGTCACGTGGCCATCACATATTTAGACGCGAACATAACAGTTACAGAGTAGAAAACACAAATTGGATGTGTTTATTTTATAGTTTTTATTTAATTTCTATATAACATAGTTTGCATCCATGTAGGGCTATGTAATACAAAGTATAAAAAGGATGGTAAGTATTAAGTAAGTAAACATAGCCATCATCACAACGTATGATAGTTCATGTTCTTTAGTTTAGTTGAAAATATAACAGCCAGACTTATAGTTTAACAAAAACGAAATTTAATTTTAATTATTAGATTCTTCCAGGCACAAATATTAAAGTTTTCCAATGGTATTTTTGACCTTGTATATTCTGATGCATTCATTGGTATCAGTGGGTTCTTGTTACAACATTGCATGTTTGTGTGCA